TTGCAGTGAAATGAGCATTACGACAACGCAAGCTGTCGTAACACGGGAGGGATAAGGAATCAATGTATATAATGCAAGCAATTCCAACGCCACAAGCACAAACACGAACCGAATATTACCAGAAAATATGTCAATGACAGAAAGACAGGTACTGATAACTATGTATGGACGGCTTCTAATATTATTTAAAAATACAATAATTCTGCCTAAAATGAGGTACGATCTGAAAAGCTTTACAAAAAGACAGGTTTCAAAAGCGACAGTAGATATATGCTAAACTTAATCATTTCTGATAGCATTATAAAAAACACTAGGTCAACAGTAATAGAATTTTGTCACTGTTTGTCTATCCAATGTGACACAAATTACCTGCTTCGCAACTCACTGTCAAGCATTCTAATTGTAAAGAACATTGAGAATCAAGTGATCAGATGGTCACTGTGTTCAAAACATTACGCAAGGAAAATTATTTTATGTACATAGCCGTAGACTGGTTTACAAAGGTGGCTCCTCGTCGATGGTATAAGGACGAAAAAATTGTACCACAACATAAGTGCGTCAAAAAGATATATCTTACAGACAATTCCCATCATGCAACTCTTTGATACACTGGCATTCAAACAATGTAAAATCTCACTTTATTCAAGTACAGGTTCAGTGAAATAGTAACCAGCAAAAAACATGCAACAACGAACAATTTCCAGAGTTGTGAAGGGAAGTTCATAAGAACAGCTGCTGTTAATGTTGGTTTGTATAACTTCGCCACATACCGCGAACGATGTCATTTGTTTCTTACAATATGTCAAACATCTGCAATTATCCGGTTCTTCAGTCCATTTTGGAAGGTCATCGAGTAGCATCGACGAAATTTCGAACAGAGAACTTTCTTAAAGAATCTACGTGGACGATGACTAATGTTCAATCAAGTTTTGACCGGATCATTCTTCTCCGATACTGCATAAGCAAGAAAACCATGGCAAAAGCTGTACTGGTGTATGACCCCGCATTAGTGATTACTTTCTTCCATGCATTTAGACCTTTCAGGGGCAGAGGGTGCATGAATTTTTAATCAGCAAAAAGAATTCATTGCTGCCATAAAATTTTTGATAACAAAACAAAGTAGATGGCGCTCGTTAGTGGATAAAAGTCAGTTCAATCAGCTTCATCAATCGTTCTCCTCTAGCTGCTGTTATGATGTGCAACGCCAATGAATATTACATTTGATAATCAGCAGCCACTGAGGTCAAGCGTGAATCGAAGCCTTAAGATACTCGTGTTAGAGAATACAGAGTACTATGCTCTGCGTGTTGTTCACATTTTTGTAACCGTTTCTAAATACTATGTACGTTTTTTGATCATGACAATTCACAATTTATTCAATGATCGCCCGTTCTCGGGGGAATGAAAAAGAACATAAAGCTTTGACCAGTGACAATCTTCAGCAATTACGACATGTTTGTCTGAAAGTGCAAGAAAATTATTAACGTTTCAAAGCTTCATTATTCCCATTGTCATAGCCGGTATATGCTATTAAAATGAATATGAGGAATAGCCGGACCATTTCACTGTTTACAGCGATTCATAGGGAAAACGTTATTAAAGTGTTGGAATTCCGTCTTGAACGGAGTTCAAAATTTTGCCGAATGTTGTACTAGCACTGATGTATATTTGACTGGTATCAATGAAACAGCAAGAAACTACAAAGCAAGCAGCTGATGCCTTGCGAGGGAGCTGGAACACAAGGTTGATGGGAGGAACCCGAAATAGATAGCTGCAGAATAGCAGCGCTGGGACTCAAAAGAGAGAACATCTTCAATTGATACACAGCACGCTGTGGTTCGTAGCAAATATATAGCACTAAGAGCTCATGCGTAGGTGTCTTTTCAAGTTTGATCCACGTTGTTTATGTGATGAGGATGAAATACTGCATGAAACTATGCACGTATATTGCATATGAACGGTAGAAATCAAGTCATTCGAAGGACTGTATCAAAACTTGTTGAAAGGATGTGAAATTCAGTGATTTCGAAAACTGATTGGTTTTATAGGAGAAACTCGTGAGAGAGACTCAGCTATGGTGTATCATTTGTCAGTGGTATCTTCTACTGACGCCAGCGGAACTCTACGAATGAACCCATGTGCTTTTCTGCATTAATTGAGGGCACTGGACGACCACAACGACTTGTATGATTTATTCTCTGCAGTAAACATTTCTGTTCTTGTCTCAAAGTAGGAATGGGCCTTAGGAACATTATGATGATTGTTACATTACTGCCTGGTTATGTAACAGAACTTTCTATCGCTTCATTGTTATCAGTATTGTTCGAATGCGGTCTTTCAGAGTAGTCGAACAACTCAAGAAGTATCTGTCGAAATTCTACAGATCAGGTGCTGCAACTCAGTATATAACAAATACATCGGTTTCAATGTGATCGTGCCGATCTGCCACTATATCGCATGTAATCTTGTAGATCAATTAAGTGAACGACTTTTTAACGGAGCAGCAGCGACGCAACATGTAGTGGATCTGTTAAAGACTCGGTAACTTTACAATTCCCGCTCATTCAGCCTGTGTAACGCGAACCAAAGGGCATACGGTAGTAAAGCTTGCAGCCGTCCACTCCGAACGGAGCCTACATGAATTTAGAAGTTCCCTGAAATCTCCGGCGAATAACGATGTAAGTCAGCTAGATAGTGTCAATTATCGATAAAAGTTACTTTAATGAATCTGGTGGTATCATAATACACTAAG